ATAACAATGTTGTGAGACGTCTTAGCATTTCTCTTGAGGGTCTAAGATCATTTATAAGGCAACATTCGAAGCATCATCGATAGACTATGATCTTGTATTTTTCGATTGTTTTTTATAAGGCATCTCACACGCATATCATGACCATTTTCTAAAGGAAACAAGTGGAGTTAACCCTAGAGGTGCAAGTGTGCAAAGTATTTATTTTTCATGCATTATTTTGTCTTGGTTAGGGTTGTCTAAGATTGATTTTTATCTTGCCATACACACCCTAGTTACTAGCATTTATATTTGAAAGCGGTAAATTGCGGAAAATAAAGTCCTACACTATTACATCATTTAGGGGGATGGGGTATAATTTACAAATGGGGATGGATAAAAGCTTAAATATTACAACCATATTGAATATCCATGAAGAAACTATTTGGAACATGTAAAAATAAAGGAAAAATAAATAAAAATGCCTTTTTGAACATTATGTGTCGACACATGCTCTTTTGCATCGACACATAACCTTCCCATGCCACTGTATTGCCAAATCAACTCAATATGAGTCGATACTTAATCGTATGTGTCGACTCATACACTTCATGTATCGACTCATACATACTTTGTGTCGACTCATACTCCCTTTTTCCTTCTGTTTTGGGCTTGTATAGCAGTATGTGTCGACTCATAAGGCTATATATAGACTCATAACCTATTTTTGCACTAAGATGTGTTGACTCATAAGGCTATGTGTCGAGTCATACTGTTACTTTTTCATTCTATCTTTGTTTTTTTGCATACATGGGTTAGTTATCAACACATAAATGACAATAATGGAAGATAAACAAAGGTTAGCTTCAAGGGGAATGGTTATTACATTTTTATCTTTGAAGACGAATCAACTAATGATGCTTGAAATGAAGGGTTTAAAGTCAATGAGACTTACCTTGAAATTGGCATTTGTGTCTTGAGCTTGAGTTGCTACCTTGAGTGTTCCTGAGCTTGGAAAATAGAGATGTTACATAAGCTTGTTCTTGATTTTGGACAACTTCTAAGTAATATATGTGAGGTGCTTAGATGTTTTGACATAATTTGCAAAGTATGAGAGGTTCAAAGGTTTGGACTTTAAAACTCAAGAGTCGAAGCTTTGTGGACTGTTATGGCTTTTGTGAATATGAGATTTTTTTAGGGTTTATCAACAAAACTTCTGGTTTTTCTCTCTATTTTCCTGACCTCTTTATTTTGCAAATGCTTCTTCTATTTATAGGCAAGATGTTTGTGAACAAGGTAATTTGGTTTACAAACTATGGAGTTATGGATAGGTTGGATTACAAACATCAAGTTATGTCATAGTCCCAAGATGAAGTACCAAAGTTGTTGGTTTAGAGGGGCTAATTTCCATGATTTATGGGGGATTAAAATCAGAAACAAATAAAGTATGGGCTCAAGACAAACTTTGTATAAAAATCTTGCTTTTCAAGAATAACAATGGTGCCTTTATGCCATAAATGGAAAGATCTTTTGGACAGTGGCTTAAACACTTGGGTAATAGCTTAAGAGTGGGTGTAAGCATTAAATTATGGTGAGATTGGCAAGTAAGAAGGCCTGCCACACAAGATTATGCAGTATAGCATAAGGGTTTTGTTATGTGTTCTTCAACAAAGTGACTTGCAATTCAAGAATGGATGCATAACTTCATGCCCTTGAATCTCCTAGCTCGAGTATGATAAATTCATGCTCTTGGATGTTTTGGAAAGCTTGAAAAATCCTCTATAAATTTCATGTTGGCTATTTTGACAAAATCATCTTGGAACTATGTGAAAACATGCCAAGAAGTTGGGATAAAATCCTGACCAAAATCTGTTGAAAATTTCTCTAAGTGTTAGATGAAAATGTCATGACTTTATAAATTTATAACTCAAAATCCAAGCATTTATAGAACTTGTTCTGCCCTATAAAGTTTTAGATCTCATTGAGATCTACAACTTTCATGTTGGAAGTTTTCCTTTAATCATCTTGCATCATGGTGAAAAATTGGCATGAAGACATAAAATTATCATGTACAAAACACTTAGAAAAATTCCTAAGTCTTGAAAAGTTTGACTTCTCAAGGATGATTTTGACTTTTTGATTTCTTGATGAACAATCTTCATATTTTTGAATGTCTTGATGAATTTTGATTTTTGAAGCTCAATGTTGACCAAAGAGTCAAAATTTGACTTTTCAGTGTACATTTGACTTTTTCAATCAGTACAACTGATTTTTGGTCATCTGGTCAATTGATGAGCAGAATTTGTGATACAAGATTTGAAAATTGACATGATCATTTTTGAAGGTCCATAATGATCCATGAAAGTCATTTGGAATATTAAAAGTCCAATTGTCCTTGTGCAAACTCAAACCCTAATCTTGAGGTATCGGTGTTAAGGATATGGCTTGACCTAGTCAATACTGGTGCAAGCTTGAGCTTTGAAGATCTTTGTGAGAAATGTCTTGAGAAAACAGAGGGAAAATTTTGGGGTACAACACCATGATTTCTCTTGTCCTAAAACTCCACAGCAAAATGGAGTTGTAGAGAGAAATAATAGGACTTGCAAGAAATGGCCAGAACTATGATCAACGAGATTAACATGGCTAAGCTCTTCTGGGCAGAGACAGTCAACACAGTGTGTTACATTCAGAACAGAGTCTCTGTAAGGCATAAGAAGAGTCACCAGTGTTGAGTGTCTTCGTTCTTCGATCGATTCAGGTGAATGTGTTTGTTTCACCAACATGCAAATTCAAAATGATGATGATGTGATAACCATGTTCTCAATATTTGATTAGTATAGTACTAAGAGACCAATCAAGTAAGATGCCACCTTGGCCAGATTTATTCGTGCTCTCTATTCAAGCATAATTTGTCTCAAAATATTTTATTAAATGACAACATGCATGATTGAGCCCGACGAAATAACTAATTTTTTAAATCTATAATCTTATTTGTATTTATTAATATTTTTAATTATTCACACTCTAATAACTTAATGTTAGTGTTTGGCAGGTAACATTGTTTATATTCATTGTGTTTGCTCATGAATTCAATAAGTTCAATTCTAAAATTCAAGAGCTTAAAAAATATACTCTGAATTATTAAATCTGATGGTCTTTTTTTGGTCACAATGATGAGTTTTTAAGACGATGTACAATGATTTACATATGCAACACTCTCATTTTTCACTTTTTATACTCCACATCATTTTTTCTTTCTTCCACTTAATAATTCAACATTCATTCAACTTTTACTCACTACAATGGTTTTGTTTAATAAAATTCAAAGTCCTACCCCACGACTTTTATTTCATATTTTTATTTTCTTTTATATTTTTGTTTTTATGATTTTATATTCATATCAATTATCGATTGAAATAAAATTAAAATAATTAAGAGTTAAATAATTTATTTTAATTTTTTTTTTCTAATTTAATGATTTATTTTAATTTTTTTTCTAATTTTATATTCTTAATTTATTTGAAAATTTTCTAATTTTATAGGGATAGTCATTATTATAAAAAAAAATATGAATAAAACAAGAGTGTATTAGATGTTAAATAGAAATAATAGAGAGAAAAAATGGATTTTTTGTGTGTTCAAATCAAATGAATCAAATCTCTATTTATAGACAAAAAAATGATGAATTTTGATAAAAATAAAAATAAATAAAAAATTGATTTGTTATAAAATAATTGATTATAAATAATTAAAGTGAATTAAAAATCTAAACAATCACAACAACCAATAAGATTTTGTAAAGTATTATATGTGACTCCACTTTCTCCTAGTTCAACCCATATATTAAACTATTGAAGAATTTTTTGAACACCCCAATTATACCTGGTCAAAGAAATTAAAAGGGTGGAAAACTAGTTTCACCAATATATCATTGCCAATAAAAATCACACAAGTGCACCATCTAATAATGTTAGAGGCAGAATAATACTTTAGTTTGTAATAGACACATCAATGTTTTTTAAACGGAAAAGAAAACATATTATCATGTTTTTATTAAATTATTAAAATAAACAATCGCAAAGAATTTTTATTAAATTGTTAAAAAAAACATTACTATAGTGTGAAATTTTGTGCATAAAAAAAGGACAGACTTGTGTTTTTTTGTTACATAGATTTATTGTATGAAAGGTAATTTTAATCTTTCTTTTTATTATAAAATGCCACATTTTGGATTAAGGAAGTCATCTCCTATAAATAATTGGTTAGCCATTGAAACCTCTACATCTTTTTATCCATTTCTTCACACACAAACTTCAGAAGTAGCATGTAATGTGAAACCATCTTTAAACACTTAATATATGTTTTGCAGTTATTCGTTACATTCAACAAATTTGGCACACATCTAATGTTTGAAATAGTGCAAATAACGTTTGAGTCCAAGTCATCATGCTTTCTTCATATTCTAAAAAGCACATGTTACTATTCTTCACAGCTGACACAAATTTATCTTATATGTCTATGGCGTAATATTTCTTAAAAATTGTTCAAAACTCCAAAACCTGATGCTGAACCATCTCAGTAGAACCCCCAAGGTATTACTGGTCCTTGCAATTTTAACAATTGCTCAATCGTGGACAGTTCAATAAAAAGCATAATAGCAAATGGTATCAGCAAATGCGCGATAAAATGCCAAGGCACTGCCATCTTCCACAAATTGGCCATGATAATTGTCAAAAAATCTGTCACCACAGTTCAGCATGGCACTGATATTTGACAACACCCGGAATGACAGAGTGGCAACTAGCAAGCCAGCAACCTCTTGGTGTTTGCCAGTTTTGATTGCTTTATTTAATAATAGCTAATAATCATTAACTAAGATCTTCTAAAGTTAATCTCTTAATTAGGGGCCTGAGTACTTAAAATATAGTAGGCTAAAGCAATCACCAAACATTCGTATATCAAATACATATTTTATTAATAGACTATCGTATAGACGGGGCATTCTATGAACAATTGCGAAACATTCAAAAACAGCATTTTGGAATCAACTGAGAGTAAAAGCATTCAAGCACAAGAAGAACATTGTCATCATGTTGAATAATTAAGACACCAAAAAGATTCAAATACACCGTGTCCAATAATATGAAAATAATTGAATTCAATTTCAGTATCTGGAATGAGGCAAAACTTATAATAAATAATAACCAAACTTCAAAAGTCATCCCAAAATCAACATAATTGTTTTCTCTCTTCCAATCAAAACCCCATAAAGAAAAATCCAAAACAAAGGCTAGGGTCCAGGATGGTTGCAGGAAAGAGTAACATGTGAAACATCATGACAATTCCTTGAATCAATGCTAAGATTAGATACCATTCTACAAGTTGCTACTGTATTATGTAGCGGCAAAAGTGATTGCACACTTCCAAGCTTTCTGTCAAATTACATCAGAAAAAAATAAAAATAAAAAGGGGGAAATCCCCAAAACATGGAGGGTTATGCAATTGAGAAACAAGTATAACTAATAATGAGTGAAAAGTGAAAAAGTAAGTAACCTGATAAAGGGAGAAAATAGACGGTGAGGGGTGACGGAAGGAGAAGCGTTGAGAAGAAGATGGGAATGGTTAGTGGTGGGTCTGAGAAGTGATTTGAAGGAAGAAATGGGGAAAAGACGACGAGTGCAACGAGAAGAAGCCATTCAAATGCGCTGCAATGTAGTATAATCACCTACTCTTCCAAATCTAACCAAACTCAAACCCTAGGTTAGCTCTCAATTTCACAGAATTTTAAGTTTATTTCAAATAATAATAATAATAATATGTGTGCTTCAAATAAACAAAAGATTTTAATACACCAAAATTTATTTTTAATTTTTATAATTAACTATTTTTTATCTATTTTTAATTATTCAGTAGAAATTCTTTACTATTAATTATTGTTTTTCTTTACTTCATGTAAGTTACAAAATTAAAAGATTTTTAGATTATTAACTTCATTAACATTATATAATAAAATAAGTTATAATTTTTTTTTAAATTTAATAAATATAATATTATATTTTAGTATTAAAAAAATTTAAATGTAATTCCCAAATTTTTTTTTCAATAAAAAAAGTTAACTTTGTCATTAATTTTTTATAATTTATATCACAATTAATATATTTATGATAAATTAATATAATTAATATTATTGACCGTTTTAAAAAGGAAGAGAATTATGAAAATTAATATGATTAATATTATTGACCGTTTTAAAAAGGAAGAGAATTACGAAAGTTAAGAGTAAGAATATATAGAGTCACAGATAAAATAATTTAAAATAGATAAACTATTTTAAAATTAAAATTATAATGAGTAAATATATAAAGTTAAACTAAAATTAAAGGAGGATTGAATTGATCAAAGTTTATATTGATTAAAAAATAACAAATAAAAGGATGAACGATTTTAAAAAATTGTTTAAAACTAATTATTTAATTAAATAAGTTTAATTATAAATTAGATAATATATTAGTATAAATATTTTTAAATGTCATGTATGAGTAACTAACTTGATATTTATCTTTTTTTTTTATATATTAAAATAATATTTTTATTTCTTTGATAAATTTTATTAAATTAAAATATTTAATTATGACCGTTACTATTTGATTCATATTGACATTATTTAAGGTAGAATTTACTCTATATAATATTGTTATTTTAAAAAATATTTATGATTGAATTTTTATTGATTTTATAATGATATTTAAGAGGGATAGAGTGACTCGCCAACTTTTCTCAGTTTATAGGCTTATTTTGTCTCACTAAACTCTATTTCTTCTTATGTTTTCTTTTTCATTTTCATAATTTTTTATTTTTCGTAGATTTTCTTTTTTATTTTAATAATCTTCCATTATGTTGGTGCTACTTCGAGCATGGTGTTTTTTCAATTGCCTCTGCTTATTCTAATCTCCTTAAAACTGTGTCATGTTATTACTTCTTCGACCGAACACGAGAGCTCAGTTCTTCCTCTTGTCTGAAAAAGTTGGACTCCCTCTAAAGTAGTTGTCTTCTTAATAATCTTCCATTATGTTTATTACTATGATTATGATTTGGCATTCACTAGTTTGAATAATAGGTCTTAACGCGAGGGGTGGATCGAACAACTTGAGGGTTTTACAGATGGTATCACTGGTATAACCACTATAGGTTTGGTCACGTCCTTTGTTGCTCCCTTCCTTGTTTACCAGCTTCACATCTTCGTCACAATCCGTGTAAGCTCTAACCTTGCGGATCCCCATGATCAACACAACATTGAGGGTGTTCAGAACTGCCTGAGCTTCTGCGGCCTTTGGATTTTCAAAACCTTTTTGCTGCAAGGTTATTTGAGCCAACACGGTTCCATCTTCCTTTTGAACGAGGCCCCCTAGATTCCACTGACCCTTTTGGGACATATTAGCATCCGATTTAAGGTAGAACTAGATATCCTCGTTAAACATCTTCAACCTTGTATTGGGTTTACTCATTTCCTCCATCTTCGTCTGTCTATTGCATTTGTCCAAATTGTGCTTGTCGTAGGTGTTGTGAGACCTGTTCCTGGATTGACCCTTACTGAGGGGATCGTTGCTTCGAGTATTTGTTTGAAAGTTGTTGGTCATATGAGGCAAATTGTCTTTGTGCTGAGGTTTATTGTCCCAATTACGCCTGTTGTTCTCTTCATTATGGTTATTCGTGTGGCTGTAGATCTTGTATTTCGGGGGAGAATTGATGGATAAGTTCTTATTAATGTTCATGTTTTTTCCTTAACTTTGATGCTTGGTTGATAATTGATTTTGTGTGTTGTGGTTTGGCACTTTGTGAGTTTGGTCCTTCGCTTCACTCTTGTACATCGTGTGGTTGAGCTTCTCGTTGTTGTCATCATAGTTGTTGAGGTATGTGTTACTTTTATCCTCCATCTGCAGTTTTCCTTTATTGTTTTGATCTTTGTTTATGGTGTTTGTTTTCTAATGCAGGGTTCTGTCCATGTTGTTGTTGGTCTTCTGAATGATGATACCTTTGTTATGATTCTTCAGGTGGTACATTGTGATATCATTCTGATTGAGTCTCTGCTCCTTGATGATGATACTTGACTTGACCCCTTTGGAGGAGCCACTCAGGAGGCCATGTCTGCCATCAATTAGGGTAATAATATTATGTTCTTTGTCGGTGTCCCTTTGGTTCTTTGAATTTCTGACTTGACTGGTGTTATTATTTTACTTGTTGTTCCGGTTGTGAATTTTATCAGAAATGTAGATGCGTTTTTCTTTTCCCATAGTCTCTTGACGGGTCCAGGCATTTTGTATCTTTTGATCATGTTGTTTATTCGTCTCAAGTTTGTCCATCGCTCTCTGTTTATCTTTTTGTTGGCAGTTTACCTTCTGTATGTTGGAGTAATTTGTTTGCATATGCATGGCATAGTTGATAATGTCTTTTGTTTCAACTTGGATTACTTCGGAAAAAGACCTTATTTCTGGCCCACCATATGCTGTATAGGATAATAAGAATTTGGCCAGCTATCTTTTGATCCGTGTATTCGATAGTGTACTGGAGCCAGTCCACAACATTCATGTTGTCTTTCTTATCCAAGTTAATGTTAAGATTATATGTAAATCACATCCTTCTGATCTTATGGCAGTGTAAAAATAAGTGATCTTAGGTTTACTCTTGTTGGGTGCACATGGGACAGTATATGGGGAAGTGAACCTTCTTTTTGCTGAGGGCGCTTCGCGTGGGCATGGAATAGTTGAGGATCCGCCATCCTAGAAGCTTAACTTTAGGTTGTACTTTGATCTTATAAAATTTCTGCCAAAGAAGTTGTATGTTGTCTTGATCAGAAACGCTAGGGTCATTACTGTAACACCCTGATCCTATCCAAAACAATTTGCGGAAAATCAGAGTATAAAAATTTCCAATATAATCAGGATGCCACACATTCAACAGAGACACATAAATTTGTCATGCTTTTAGAATAAATACATAACACTTAAAGAAGCGGAATAAATACAACTCATGAATATAGTCTTCATAACATAAATCAAACTTTGATTAATTACGCAGCGGATTCATAATAGTTCTCCATATAAGACATAGCATCTTTTGAATCATGAAACAACATCAATACAATAACTCCTCAAATAACAACATAAGGTTCAACAAATAAACAACAAAATAAGACAATCGCTCATTTCCCCCTTAGTGCTACATATCAGAGCAAATGACACTAAACTCGATCTAACAACGCTATCGGCTACTCCTCTTGGTTACTTGCACGTTACCAACAAGGGCAACGTTCAAACAGAAGGGGTAAGATATCAAATACTATAATAGAACGTATGATAAATAATATATCGAAAAGTAGTTCATGTAATATCCCCACTTCATACAACATCAACATAAAGCAGCACCATTCACCACTTCAATCCAACTTATAACATTACCGTGCATAAACAACACTTCAAATAAGCAACAAATCAATGACTCCAAATGCGACTCAACTATGTAAATGCATGTGGTACCATTGGATAAGAACTCCCAACTTAGAAAGTGTCAGTTTACCCAGGCATAAGGCATAATCCCTCAACATAAAATCTTGTCAATAAAGGCCAATGTGGTGAGCATTCGCTCCAACTTAGAACATGTCAATTCAGGCCAACTTTAATGCTATGCTATGCTATGCTATGCTATGCGACGATATAAATAACCACAACTCGGCAACGCAACAATGACAACAACATAGTAACAGTCGATATAACAACAATTCACATCGTTCAATATTGGCCAAAGGCCTACAACATAACATATCAACAGAGTCAACAACTTTTCATGGCAACAACATATCCACATTATCGATCAGCACAAAACAATACAACATTGGTCATAAGACTTATAATCCAACAATGTCCATAATATTACTTCTGCTATTTAATTAATCCTCCAAAAATAGTTACTGCAACTTTACTAATTATTCCTAACTCTGTCTTATTACCACAGACTGTTAAAATCAAGTTGAATTGCTAACTTAAGATTACTGACATATAGGTGCTTCTATTAAAGTTGCTTCTGCTATATCACACTACTGATAAGAATAGTTTAATTTTTCCCTAAGTGCTTTTGTATTTAATAAACTCCATATTGATACCATATAAAAATTATATAGCATAGTGCCACAGAAACAAAAACAAAAACAAAAACAAGCGCCCCTGCCTAACACTTAGTTCCAAACGGAACCTTCCTTCTACAAGCACCCTAGTGCCGAACGGCACCCCCCCTTTCTCTCAAGGCTGCCGAACAGCAACCCCCCCCCCCCCCCCACACACACACAACAAGTGCCGAACGACACTTCCACCCCCCAGGCCAATTTTATTTCTTATTCTCTACTTCGATACAGTTTCAATGAATTTCATGCTGTGATCGGTGGATCTGGAACTGACTGTTTAACGCTGGTTCGCGAAATGTCGCGGAAGCAAGAGTCGCCACCGTCTTTTATTTTCTTCAAATGGAAAGGACAAAAGCACAGAAAAATTCCTTAAAGAGATTTGTTCTCGGTTCGGGAGGTAGATTATAGAAAGGGAAGGTGTTAGCACCCTTTCTATCCATGGTTATCCATGGGCTCTTAGATACTTGCTCATTGTGTTTTCAAAAATGTTTGCTTGCTTTTCAATTGTGGGTTTAAAAAGTT